AGAATGTAGGTAGGTAGGTAGAGGGATATAGATAGATAGATAGATAGATAGATAGATAGATAGATAGATAGAGAGAGAGAGAGAGAGAGAGAGAGAGAGAGAGAGAGAAGTACAGTAGATAGGTAGGGAGAGAGAGAGAGTGTGTAAGTAGGTAGGTAGGGAGAGGGATAGAGAAAGAGAAATAGAGAGAGAGAGAGAAATACAGAAATACAGTAGATAGGTAGCTGGCACAGCACTTGATCAATATAATTCTCATCAGTCAGTTAAAGAGCTTTCCAAAAGGAAAAAAAAAGTTTTTCCACTCTGCAAACCTCCCCAAAATGGCACATTTTTTGCAAAAACAGGCCCGTTTTTTGTCAAAAAAATCACATGCATAGCCTTATGGAGGCTTATAGAGTTCTGCTGGGGGCTGTGAGCAAAAAATGGCCCATTCGTAGCTCATTTCTACCCTCCCAAGCTCCCAGGAGCTCTCTGAAAGCCTCCATAAGGGTATGCACAGCCATTTTGGTGAAGGAGTGGGGCTTTGGGAGGCAAAAAGTACTGTATTTGGTATATAAGACGCACCCAGATTTTCAGCCTCTTTTTTGAGGGAAAAAAGGTACGTCTTATACACTGAAAAATACGGTATCTAAGAGAGGTAAATGCCATGTTTTCCAGAAGGATCTCTAGAGATGCTTAATTATAGATTCAATTATTCCCCGATGGTAATGTTCTATATACCTGGGAAATTAACCATCTCACCTTTTTTGTTTTTCTTGAAGTTTTTTGCTTGCAGCACTACAGTCATAAATGAAAAGATCATCATTGCTGTCAAGTAAATGAATATACATCACATACATATTTTCTATGGAAGCAATTTTGTGTTGAACTGTTAAAAAACAGAGCAATGTTTCCTATACCAATAGGTTAGCAACCTATACCTCTATTTTTTTCCAGACATAAACCTAATCTCACTTGTTGCCATTCTGAGCACCTACTCCAATTTCTCTGAATCTTTATTAAAATATGAAGCCTAGAACAGAAAATAGTACTTGTGGTAGAATATGATCAATGCAAATACAGTGGAGCAATATACCTACTGATACAGAGTAAAACTGAATTTGCCTTTCCAGCAACCTTATATTCAATGTGGACAGCTATATCAAAATACTTCTTTAGAATATGAATATCAAGCCAAATATAGCCCTATCTTGTTTCTGTTCATTTGATTTCTTTTTTCATGTTTCTACTTTACTGTTATTTTACCTTTATTTTTCAGCTAGTACAGCTGTGTGAAAAAGTCCTGCATGCTTTACGGTTTACGACATTTTTTGATAGACCATTGATTTTATGATATTTTATGCTAACTGCTATGCAGGTATTGTTATAGTTAAATACTGGTGGTTTTTAAGTGAAAAGCATAAGCTTTTTGCAATTTGATGCTGTTTTCTTGCATGCTTACAATGACTATGAAAACAGATTAACTGATGCATATCCAGTGGCATATGTGTTGCAATTACTAAAGCCAATGCTAGTGTTTTGTTAACATTTTTATTGTTTGTGGCCCTGAAAAGGACCATTTAGTAATATGGTTACTAATATGAAATTAGCCAGCCCTTATTGCTTATCACCAGGCGGTATCGCTTTGGCATGTATAAGCCTTTGCACGTGATCTTTGGTGACAATGTGGTGCCAGGCTGCAATAATGGATTCAATCAGCTCCTGCTTGGTCTTCGGATGCTTCTTGCTTATTTCGTAACCAATCTTGGCCCACAAGTTCTCAATTGGGTTCAAATCCGGGCTCTGAACTGGCCAATCCAGGAGTCGAACACCATACTTCTTCATCCACTGCTGGATGGACTTGGCTCCTTCCCTACAAGTTGCTGAGCTGAAGGAAGCATGGTCTTTTCTAGGACTTCAACATACTGCTTGGAATTCATGATTCCCTGCATGATTTGTATCCGACCAATACCAGAAGCAGCGATACAGCCCCAGATCATCACATGCAATGGATGCTTCACAGATAGACAGGCAGTATGGCCTACGTTCTTCAGCTGGAAATCTTCTGACATACTTATTGCACTGATTCCCAGACAGGTAGCATGTTGACGAGAACAGTGAGCGTCTGTAAGCAAAGGTTTACTTCGAGCCCTGCCTTTGAGTCCTCTGGCAAGCAGTCTGCGATGCACTGTGCTTGTGCACACTTTTACATCACGTTTCACCCCAAAATTCTTGTAATCTGAGGTGAGGTGAGCTTCCTGTCAGTCATCAAAATACATTGCAGAGCCCAATCTTGCCATTTTGTTGACTTTCTTGGTCTTCCAGAGCAGAGCCTATCATCAACTGAACCAGATATTTAGTATTTTTCAACCACTCTGCTCACTGTGGTGCAATGGCATTTCACTCTCTTGGCTATTTCTATACTGGAGTAACCCTCTTCATGAAGCACAATGATGCGATGCCACTGCTCAGTACTGGTGAAAGCAAAGGCCTTCATCCTTGCCCACAGCCAGAGCTAAATTAAATTTCTCGAAGCCTATTTATAGTTAGAGAGTATGACAACATTGATTGGCTCATAGATTTAGGCTCTGTGCATTTTGATTGGTCAACCAAAGCTCGCTGCTGATTGGCTACTTTTGATTCCAACTTTCTCAAAAATTCAAGTGGTGTTTGTTTTAGCACATAAACTCACTCAAAACCTTAAAAAGACTTTGGTTATATTAATAAAAATTATGCATCTCAATCAGACTACAGAAATTTTCATCAAAGTACTAATTTTCTGTGGTTTCTATGAGTGAAAAGTTGATTAAACATGTAAATACAGCTTAAAACTGAAAGCATGCAGGACTTTTTCACACCGCTGTATATTGCTTCAAGTACTCTCTCATCCCACTTCTTTTGTTTCTGTCTTCTACACTGTTATCTCAAACCGTTTTGTTTGACCTAAAATTTGCAAAGTATTTCCTCCAACTCTCAACCTTAACATTTGTCATCTAATTAACAAACACCCAATAGCCTATGTTGACTTACAAATCAGATTACTATCACACCATTTGTCAAATTCTATGCTAAAATTAAGATATATTATATCCACAGGATCCCTAAAGTCTATTAAGAAAAATACATCTTATAACAAAGAAAATACCTTCATCAAAAAATCTATGTAGAAATCTAACAATAAATTAAAATGTCCACAAGTTCTCAATATTTCCATTTGGTCTCTTAAATGTTCTCCATTAATTAGATATTGGTTAGATTCTATTCAAATAGAGACAATATTTTGTGCCTTCCTCTATCCTGTGAATGAGAAAGTGTTAAAGAGAAGACTTTAAGAGGTGGTCAGAAATTTCCTACGTAGATCGTGCTTGATAAGAGTTTGTCCCCATACAGATACTTGGAATGAAGTTTTCCATCACACTCAATTCATACTTTTTTAAAAAGGCTTTTAGAGGGTTATTGAATCGCTGTGAAAGATAATTATAGCTACTATTGGAAAGAAACAATGCTTTTTGAAAATTTCCAAATGTGGGTTTTGAATTTGTTTTGGTACCTTTTAGTTATTGATGATTCCTAGCAACCACCTGGACAAGTCCCTGCAGTTTTCCTCACAAGGTTTTTTGGTCATTATTTGCCATTGCCTCCTTCCTAAGGCTGAGGGAGAGTGCCTGTTCCAAAGTCAAGCTCTGTGCACCAAAACCAGCCTGGGCCACAACAAACTGGCTCTTTTTTCATGTTAATAGTCTCATAATTTAAGTGTGCACAGTTGATAGAAGCTTCACTCTCCCTTTTTCTCGTATTACTTTACCTTTGTCTCTTTGCCAGACTTCCACTGTCAGGCCTGTGCATGTACAATATCTAAACTAGCCCCCCACCCCACCCTATTTGATTTCTTCATAATATATTGGACTACAATTCCCATTATGCCAATCGGTATCCATCTGTTAACAGTAACGGAAGTATTAATTTAGAGCAGTGTTTCTCAACCTTTAAGTCCTGTGGACTTCAACTCCCAGAATTCCCCCGCGGGGATTCTGGGAGTTGAAGTCCACAGGACTTAAAGTTGCCACGGTTGAGAAACACTGATCTAGAGAGTTTCTTTTTAAATTCCAGTCTTTCAGACACTTGCAAACCCTTTCACTCACTTGGCCTCTTTATAATTAGCGGCGAAGAACTTCGTGCCGCCGCTAACCACCATCAGATCCTCGCAAATGAGGAGCTTCGGAGAAGCACTCACGACTCCAACATCAGCCGCCTCCATCGTCCTGCCCAGATCCACGTTGGGGGCGCCCGGGAATCGTCACCACCTAATGATGTCATTCCACGGCCTACTAATGATGACCTCAGAAAAGGCCGGCTTGTCATAGATACGAGCGTATTGTTGTTTGAAACCTCAACTGCTAATGGGACTAGAATTACTCCTTATTCCTTTTGCGGTGATAATCAGAAGATGAAAAGTCTTGATATTTCCAACAGCCATAGGCCATAGGTTTCCATAATCTCGTCTCGAGACAATGAATGCCCTGGGGGAGGCGCCTTCATAAAGACAATGAAATAAAAGGGAAGGAAATGCACTCATTAAGGGCAATATTTGCAGCTCAGGGTTGAGATCAGGGGTCCTTGGTGCTGATGAGGTTACCTAGTTTGGGTAATGAAACGTCTGCAAGAAAACAAGCTCAGATAGCACCAAGGACACCACCCCCACCCCATATTGTACTGAAGACAATGATCCAAGGATATCCTTCCAACATTTTACGCTGAAGCTCTGTCCATGTCCGTCCGTCCGTCCATCTGGGTTTAGAAGTACACGGAACGGAGGATAGCCCATCCACTTCTCCTTATCTCTCAAACTAAAGGGAACTCTCCATTCCAGCTCCCGCCGCTACTAAGCAACACAATCACCTCCTACCCACGTGAGGGGCGTACAGTACGTGCCACCGGACGGCGGTTCCGGAAGGAAAATGGGATGGGAACCTTTTCTTTGCGGCCAAAGGAGGACACCGGACAGGTTTTGGGAGACGCCAAGATGGCGGCCTCCTTGGTGACTCGCTACGGTCGTGTGGCGGCGTTTAAGGTAATGGAGAATTCGATTCATTAAGGAGTTACTTGTGGATTCCGTTTTCCTATTAGGTGTCCGCCTGTAGCCAGGAGCAGTTGCTCTGTCATATGTCTGTGCCAGTAATTATTTATTGTCTGTCTGGATTTGACCTGAAGTTGAAGCTGATATAATTTGATTCAGGACATCTAATTTTACTCGGGGTATCTACTACTATCTTGATGTAGACTGTACGCGAGGATTATTTTCCAGTCTGCAAGGCGAAGAATAAACTGTTAGCGAGTAAAAACATAACCAAGAAGGGTTACAAATAAATTGTCGTGAATTTCAGCCCACTTTATCAAATGCATAGCTAATAGTTTTGAGAAAAAACTGAAATGAACATACCCTTGGGGCAGGGAAGAGAAAAAGAGCCATAGAGACCGAAAGATAGAGACTAGAAGCAGTGTTATAAAGAAAATGTTAAGATTTCATATGCAGCACCTTGAGCTCTTGGATTCAGTTGTGACTAGAGTGAATTTTATTTTGAAAGTTGCCTGAAATGAGAGGTTTCAAGCAATACGGGTAATATGTATTTCTTTGCTTGAGAGAGTAGATAAAACTGACAAAAAATATTCTAATTGTTTTAGTATAATTAGGACAGGAATATTTGTGGTATCCAAATTTTATCTCTGACAATATTTTACTTATTGAAGGGTGGACCAGTTGTAGTTTCTGATGAGTATGATGTTAGGATCTGATGTTGCTTGAGTTCTTGCAGAGTTCTGGCTGAATTGACTTGAATTTTACTTATCAACTCATTTCTTAATAGAATCGAATAGGAATAGAATATTTATTTGGCCAAGTGTGATTAGACACACAATGCAGAAGCTCTCAATGAACATAGTCATAATAATCATAGTAATGATACCAATAACAGGCCACTAAAGATAAGGATAATACCATAAATATGGGTAAATACATAGACATTTGACAGTACTGTGAGAGTTAGGTGTTCAGCAGTGATTGCACAAGGGAAAACAGTTACAGTACTATTTCCAGCTTGGGTCTAGTTGTTTTGGCATGCAATGCACTATAACAGACTCCTGAGGGGAGGAGTTGAACAGTTTGTGTCCAGAATGTGAGGAGTCTGTAGATATTTTCTCAGCCCTTCTTCTGACTCTGCAATATGCACATCTTCTATGGCAGGCAGGCAGGTTGGTTGCAGTTGTTCTTTCTGCAGCCCTAAGTATCTGTTGGAGTCCTACCTATCCTATTTGATTGCTGTAGCAAACCAGACAGTTATAAAAGTACAAATAATTCCTCAGACTCAATTATTAGCTGCTAATTAATACTTATCTGTTGAATAAATATCAACAGCTCCTGGGTCAAAGAACATTCTTTGTTGTGCCTTTTTAATGGGAGGTTATGGAACCCCAAAATTTTAAGGACTTTACTGCCGATACTGTGCAGTCAAATATAGTAAGAGGTGGTAGAATAGAAGGGCTCCTCCTAAAACCCACTCTCAGTTTTAAGCATGTGTAGTTCCAGGTTGTTCCGCCTGCATCACCATTCAACCTCCCATTCATATGCAGACCTAATCATCATCTTGAATGAGACCAATGACTCTTGTATCATTTGAAAACTTCAATACTTTAACAGAGGGATCCCTAAAGATGCAATAGTTGATACAGAGAAAAAAGATACCCTGAGGGGCATCTGTGCTAATTACCTGGGTATTAAATGTAATTTCATCTGTTGCTTCCTACCCATATGGCTGATGGTTTTTCACACAACCATTGCAGTATCCCCATGATCACATGATCAAAATTCAGATGCTTGGCAACTGACTCACATTTATGACAGTTGCATGCCTCGGGGTCATGCAACCTTCTGACTATTAAAATCAATGGGGAAGACAGATTCACTTAACAACCAGGTTACTAATTTATCAACTGCAGTGATTCACTTAACAACTGTGGCAAGAAATGTTGTAAAATGGGGCAAAATTCACTTAAAACTGTCTCACATAACATAAATGTTTTGCTCAATTATGGTCGTAAGTCAAGAATTACCTTTTGTATAGTAACAAGCCTTTCCTTTAACTGAAAATAAGATTTTAGAATGTTTCACAAGGAATTTTTAAGCTATTTTATTATCACTATTTCATGAGCTTGTTATTGTATGCCTTACATATTTTTGAAAAATACATGCTAATTAAAAAAATGTTCATCAAGTATTTTTCCTGATTCTTATAGGCTATATCACAGCAAGCATGGGGTGTACGAAGTATGCCTTCTCTTTATCTCTGCACAAAACCAGGTAATTCTAAAAAAGGCACCCCAAAAGGTAAGAATCTAAAATATTTATTGCCAAGGAAAATATTTATTATTGAAACAACATTAATTAAGCAATTGCTATTTTTCATGTTTTGTAGAATGTGAAGATTTAATATGAAAATACATTATGCTGATATGTTGGTTTTGTTATAAGATGAATGTTTTTACTCAAAAGAATTACATTTAAAACTAAAATAAAATATTATTGCACTGCCATTCCATGAACCATAATTCCCATGGGAAAATCCATTAAATGGAAAGGAAAAGAGTCACCCACGTTTATTCTTCTCCCCCTCCCTCGCCCCTCCTCTCTCTCTCTCTCACACACACACACATACACCGAGTCTTCTTTCCTCATCCATGCAATTCTACATTATCCTTTTTTTTCCCTTTCTGCCTGCCTCTTCCTGTTCTTAGAGCTGACTCTGTAGGAATTAATATTTAAGCAAACTTCTCAGTGGTATCAGTGAAAGCTGTTAAAAATCCTATTTGATAGATATATGTAAATATTTTATTTTTAAACAATGGTATGGGTTCTCATAGGCAAAATAAAGAGATTAAATAAATTCTATCTGTTCAATAACTATCATATCATTCAAATCACATAACAAAAACGCAAGCTATGAATCTCTGATATCATAGACAAGAGGCCTGACATCTAACCAAATATGAAGACTTTCACAAGCCTTTAAATTATCCTTTCCAATGTAATGACCTCAAGATATGATGAGATTGTAATTCCATGCTAATTTTGAATGTTAGGAGTTATAGACCCAAAATATATGGGAAAGTACTTATTTATTTTTAAATATGACTATATAGAAATTTAATATCTTTATACAATATTAAGCAATGAAATTGGATATTAATTAGCACACTTGAGTGTAGTCTTTTCCTGCTATTGGTAGAACTGTAATATAGGTCTGATTAAAATATCTTGCTTTCCTTTATGAAATATCTCATCAGAAAATTCTCAGGATTTTGGCAGCAAAAAATCTTTAACTGTCTTATACCACTCAATGTGGATCCATCCATTCCAAGTGTTTTATCACTTTCCATTTAAAAAAATATTTATTTTATATCCTACCTACCTGTACCTACAAAGAGAGGAGCAAATAAAAATTATTTTTTGTGTCATCTAACTTTAGCAGGTTAACTTTATTTTAAAAGGCCTTTATATCTTCATTTCATGCATTCTTTGATTTGCTGCATAATACTGGATAAAAATTTAAAAAATTGACTTGCTAAACATAAACTTGATAGTATAATGGTATTATATAACTCTATACAAGTCCAGGTTTAAAGAGTAATGTGACTCAGAATATACATGAATGCCCACATAACATCTATTGAAAATACCTTATAGGAGCTGCATCTTTTTTTTTTGATCCATGTGACTACCCTCTGCCACTGATGCTTTCTTTAAGGATCTCATAGGAAGAGCTAAGTGCATGCCCATACATGCTATTCTCAGGCATATCAGTGAAGATAACCTGGAAGTTACTAGAATACAGTGGCACACATAATGTTGGGTGGTTCTGGGTTTGCAGGTTTTATAACCCTGTTGCACAAGCTGCACTGGGTTTCAATTTCCTCCCTAGTGCAATTCAAATTGATAGTCATTAACTTTAAAGTTCTATGTGGTATAAAACAGGCCATTTGCGAAGCTGCCTCTCTTTGAAGGTATCAGTCATCAATGTGATTGGATAGAATGGGCACGCTTTAGGTCCCTTCTCTGAAATATTTTCATCTAGTGGGACCTAGGAAGTATGCCTTTTCCATAGCTGTCCCTAACTTATGGAACACACTTTCCTGGCAATGTGACAGACTCCCACCCTGTTAGCCTTCCAGAAAGCAAATAAAACTGCAGGCATTACAGTAAATAGGTGGAGCCTGCGGAGAGTTGTTCAAGTGCCCAGGAAGGTTGATGGAAGTGCGAGTTTTGTAGTTTTTTATGTTTTTACTATTTTTATAATTTTATTGTTGTGAAAGTTGTTTTAAAATAAAGGGCCATACAAATCTTAAATTAATTAAGAAATATATAATATTTAATTTGATTCTATATGAGATCATAGAAAGTCTGAAAGAAATTTATTGTTCTGCATGATATAATGAATGAATGCTATCTGGAAAATAGTCTCTGGAAAATTCATAATCACACTGACTTTAAAATATTGCCTGCATGAATGCCAGCATTTTTCCTTAATAGTTTTAAAAGCTGCTTTTTTCCTGCATCATGAACTATAACATTCTATGTAGCAATTTCTAACAACTTTTAATATATGTAGTTCAAGAAAAAACATTTATATCATTAGGGTTTCAATAAGTCAGAACTTGACAACTTAAGTAGCTATGATTTTTTAATTAAAATTAACATGATTTAATATTCAGGTTTCAAAAAATGCAGCATAATTGGTTTTTGTGTATCATGCTTTAAAATATTTATTCTCTATTTATTACAGTTGGATGATTAATGCAGCATAATGTCTATGATGTTAAGTTCTGTAACTCTATTTTAACAGTTCTAAAATAATTATTAAAAGGTCATATTGTCTTTATCAAAAAGTTTGTCAGTTATTTGAGTAGCTTGAAAAAAATGAAGACAGAGAACGACTTAAAAAGCATTAGAACTTAATCTTCTCATGGTTTTCCAGTGCTATAATGTGGAACTAAAGAAGCAAAATTGTTTTGTGCTAATAAACCTTGTAAGCATCACTAATATGCATAAATACCTCTTTCCGAAAACATTAAAAAGGATTTAGTAATTTGTCATCAATTACTGTTTACGTAAAAAACAAAGCCTCATATCTTTATTTCATTGTTATGCTTTGCATGGTTAAACAGCCTTGAAAACAATTTCTCTGCATACCTGCCATCCAGAGCTGAGGTGGCGCAGTGGTTAAATGCAGCACTGCAGGCTACTTCAGCTGACTGCAGTTCTGCAGTTTGGCTGTTCAAATCTCACCGGCTCAAGGTTGACTCAGCCTTCCATCCTTCTGAGGTGGGTAAAATGAGGACCCGGATTGTTGGGGGCGATATGCTGACTCTGTAAACCGCTTAGAGAGGGCTGAAAGCCCTATGAAGCGGTATATAAGTCTAACTGCTATTGCTATTGCTATCCACGATGATAAACATTGTTTAATTAGAATGACTTTAATTGCATTTGAGTATGATGAAAAGATTTCAGTAGATAAAATTGTAGTGCTTTCTGCTGAGAAGTAACCATTGTTTCTTAATAACTAATTGTTTTAACAGTTCAGTCGTGTCCGACTCTTGGTGATTTTATGGGCAAGTGCTCTCTGTGGTACTCTGTCAAGCACAGCTTCTTTCATTTGTTAGATGTTTATTTTTGTATCAGTTTTGATGATATCAAGCCACCAAGTTCTTTGCTTGCACCTTCTTCATCCACTAACCATTCCTAGATTATTGACTTTTCCAGTGAATTTGCACATGTGATATGACCGAAGTAAATCAGACATGATCTTGTGATTTTGTTGATTTATATATACATAAATGCATTGATACGTTGAAAAACTAGTTTTATAATTACATAAATTTCATATTATATATCAATAGGTTTATATATATGTGTGTGTGTGTATATATATATATATATTGTGTATAATATTTAGTCTTGTGTATGTGTATATTATGCATGCACATATATATTGATATCAATATTAGTTAACATATAATATCAAACATTAATCACACATCTTCCTCATAGAGGGGCTTTTATTTTATTAATGATATATTTATATATCATATGTTTCAAGTCTATTATATATTCTGAATTATAGATAGATTGATTGATTGATTTGAAACATATGATGTTGCTTATCACAGTTGAAATAGTTGAATATTGCAACATAAAATGCAATATGCAGTTGTGGCAATAGGAAAGTGTTCTATTCTACAGATTGGATCAGTGTATGTCTGACAAAGTTTATAAACAGCCAGGTGTCCAAGTGTATCATGCTGATAATATGCTAATAATATTATTCATAGAAGAAACATTTGTTAATGTTTTATATTTATGTTTTTATGGTATTGTAAGATGCCCAGAGTTGCTTTGGATGGTAAGATGGGCCGCATATAAATTTAATTAAAATATTTTAAACTAAAGGACATATTTTAAAGTGTTTTATATTGATATGAAATCTAGTAGATATTTTTCTGAAGCAATGAACTTTGTATCAGTTAATTCCACAGATCAGTTATACCAGAATTACATATCATAGTGATAGCCTTGAAAATATTTATCTAGAAATTATAATATCTTCTGTGCCAACAGAAATTGAAATTAGCCAGCTGGAATTAGTACTGAAAGAGCAAACCCAACTATTAACCTGCCCAAAATGGAGGTTGGTTTTCTTTTAAAAGCTGTCTCCTAATTTTTTCCCACAATTTACAGATAAGGGGAAGGTCATAACTAACTGTAAACCTGATGCAGCTGTAAAATTAACAGATGAAGATCTGAGAAAATTCTTGGCAATGAAAACTTTGGTAATGTTTCCTCAGAAGGCAGAGTTTCCTTTTGAGAGAACACCAGTTTTCTCTTCCACAGAAGGCTTAGGGAAGAGGTTAACAGACGAAGAGCTACTTTCTTCATCAAGTTCTGAATCAGACTCTAGTTCTGATTCTGAAGATGATGACTTCAAAGAGAAGCCACACAGACATAAAGAACTCTGCTGGACAACTGATAACAAGCAGTTAGAATCAGATATGATAAAAACTGCTTCACAACAAAGGTCTAAAGAAATACATTTAAAGAGTAAGAACTTAGGAATAGTGAATGCAGAGAATCAAAAGCCAATAGAAGTTTCGTCTGGAAGCCAGGAAGTATCTCTCTCTGAAACTGATCCACGGAGAACTCAGCTGGTACCTCCACAAAATATATCACAAAATCTGGAACAGGATGAAAAAATTACAAAGAAAATGCAAAAAACTGAGATGCAAGAGAGAATTTTTGAAGAACCACGGCCTGAAGTTTCAAGGGAAAGAATGCCAGTGATAAAAACCACCCTGAAGGAGGAGACCATCCCAGAAGAAGCTCAAATTGAAAAACAAAGCACTCCACAGGGTATCACTTTATCTTCTTCTGCATTAGTTCTGTTGTTGAAAGGATTTATATAGGCAAATGTTCTATATTCTGACTTTCCCATTATTTGAAGTAAAGTCTTGAAATGTTTCTTCCTGCTTTCCTAATGTACTTTCCAAAGAAGGCCTTTTCACATTGCTGATGAACTGTTATACTCCTTTACAGTTACGTTCTCTGGTTCTCCTATTAAGCTTTAAAGGTGCTAATGGAAGATTTGGGGAGGGGGAGGAAACAACATTCTATTTTTGCTACTGTTTCTTGTTTGAAATGTTAAGGGAACTTAGAACATTCAAAACTGTGATGACCACGTGAAAATGTCTTCATAAAAGAAATAACCCTTTATTTGTCCCTACTTGCTAAAGCACACGCTATAGACTTTTGAGTTTTCAAACTTTTCTTCTATCTGCACTTGCTCATAGCTTAATGTTGCTTTTTGTTTGGAACTTGCTGTTTATGTGATACTTTTTACTTTTTTTCACTCCTTCTTGAACCCTTTGATAGATACATAAATCAGTTCTGTAAGGAAACAAGTTTACTTCGACCTTCTTGGAATGTGAAGAAAATTAGTGCCTATAGGTTAGCAAAGATGTCACTGTTAGTGATTTAAGCATTATGATGCATGTTTACATCAGATAGTTTTCTTTCAGCTCTCTTGTTATCTGAATTTTCATTCTCTTTCATTTCTTTAATATTCTTAAAATATTCTCTTAATCTCAAAATACCCCAAATAAATTCCTAAAGTAAACATAATTTTCTTCATATTTTAAAAACCTTCCCATGAAGCTTTCCCTGTTCATTTTTTCTATATTTTAAATTCTGTAGTATATATCAATATGATTTTTAAGATCTATTATTATTTTCAATAATCTAAATCCATTTATATACAAAGAGAAAATACTAGATACCAGTTGTAATATGAATTAACAAATAAAAAACTTAAAATTCAACATGCAAGTCAAAGTGATAAATATCCTCAAAGATTTTGTAGTTTAATACCTAACATACACACACACACCCAAATCCTCAATTATTTTAAGTTCCAGAAGGGGGCAGCAGTGCCTGGAAAAATAATGGCAGAAAAGAATGTCGTGGCTCTCTTTCAGTTTAGCTTGGCTAGTCTACAAAATTGGAACAGGGGATAAGAGAAGGTGAAATTTGAAACTTCTAAATCTGGCTATAAATAATAGTCTATTAAAATGCAATTGTATATAGGTAGAGTATTTATAATACAATTAAAAGCCATAGATAAATATTAATAGACATCCAGCTGGAAATAGTACTGTAACTTTCAATTATTTCAGTGGAAGAGGCTTCAACAATTATTAAATATTGCTGTAGAAATACAGAATATTGAACACTGAGAGGTACAGATCCAATATTCCCTGTATATTTACATTAATCTAAATGTTTTAAACACTGTTAAGGACATAAATTATTGAAAAATAATTCAATTCTGTTGTAAAAGTATGCAGTTAATAAAAGAAGATAACATTCATTCCCAAACATTAAAATCCCCTGTCCTGTCAGTATTAAAAATCAATCTGAGTACTTAAGTCTATAAAGAAAGTATCACTAGGAAGAATTGTTAAGTGTCTATCCAGAACATTTGAAGCTCAAAATTTTGGATTATTATCTAGGCCTTTATGATGATATGTTATATGTTATACTTTAAAACTATTTATTTAAAGCATCACTCCTTTTATAATTTATGATGAGGCGGGGCAAAGGGCTAATATGTTGAGTGCAAAACTGAGCCATATAAATTAAGGGTAAATGTGTTCTACTATTGAGAACTGGAGATGATTGGTTTCATGTTACAACCAGATTCCAATCAGTGACAGGATTCATATCATACAAAGTAAATGCATGGTTTGTTTGGTTTTAGCTTTGTACAGTGTGTGAATATATCACTATAGTTTTCAAGCAGTGGTTTATGCTTAAGTCATGCCCTGCCTTCATATTCCAGCAAGTATTCAAAGTGGCAAACAAAACAAAACAAAACACAATTAACGATATAGATAATAATGTTCATTTAGAATGATACATAAACCAGGCTTTTCTGGCTCATTCAGCAAACAGTAACTAAACAAATTATGGCTTCATGTCAAACCCAGGTTTTTTTAAAAATAAAATTTCATTGAAGGTTGAACGTATTTGTAGCTTTTGTGAAGTAAAAGAACAATTAGCATGTTTAACACTGTTTATCTGTCTGATGTAAAAACTCCTTTGAAAAGATATGGTTCTGGATTTATAACAGAATATGCATGTTTTGGTTTATATTCTATTGCTAGAAAAACAAACCACTGGTTTGCCTATTTGGTGCTGGAAGCTAATGGAGTTTCAGTTACATGTTTGGAAATGATCATTCCATGTATTTTGGTTTAATCCTGATTTTTAAAAGAACTAGCATATTGATAATCAGTTGCAATTTAATACTAGATATTCAAATTCTCTTTAACATTGTTATATTCTTGACTCTGTGAAATGTGGATATGTTTTTCACACATGTAAATCATGTACTTTCACAATCATAATAACTTTTATGTCCAGTTTTATGTCCTGTTCTATGTTACTGTGTTTTCCAGTTACATACTTTCTGAACAACTTCTATTGCTAAAACTATTTGGTATTACTCTGTCTTTCTTTTAAGCTGTCCTTCCTTATCACTAACTTTTATTCTAGCAGCTCAATTCCCAGCATTGCCATCCTATGTCATGTTCCATCTCTATTGTGGGTGTCCTTTTCTTACTATCTTTTTCTTCAAAATTAAAGTAAAATCCAATTAATTTCTGGGAGGTGTTTTTTTTAAAGGATCTACTTCTCTTGTAGCAATCACCAACCCCCTTCGTTGTTTATAATTTTTCTTTAGTTTTCTGAGCTAATATAACTAAGAGGAAAATAGCATACACTTAAGACTTTACAGTTACTTCTTTATGTTTAAAAAAGAATTATTTTATTAACTAGTTGAAAATGGGCTATACAAATGTTGATTTATATTTCAGCATATCTGTAGTCTATCAATATTTACCTTCCCCAGCATTAATATATTCATAATTCTATCTGTATGACACAGAAGCTTTTCTAGGCAAGGATTCTGAGTCCCCTTACACCTATCCTTCCACTTACAGCTTCCAAATCCCTCTCTCCTCAGTTCCTCCTCCTTCCAAATTGGGAGAAGTTACTTTGCAATACTTTGCTTTGATTGATAGTTCCAGTCCTCACATATTTACCCTACTTACCCAAACTTAGCATCATTCACAACTGAATGGTATGTGTAAGTCTTGAAAGTATTTTTTTTACAACTTATCAAGGTCCGCACAGTGATCATAATTGATAGTAATAACTTTCAGTGGTAGTAATACATCTGCATTTGTATCAAAACCTGATTTCACTAGGAACTTTGCTTCTGTTCTCTGGGTTTACAATATTTTTTTTCTCCTTTTAGTGGCCAGACCATCACCTGAAACTGCTCAAGAAACACATGACATTTCTACCTACAAGAACCTACAGCATCATGAATATCAACCATTCACTTTTGTGGATTTTGATGTTTTGTTGTCAAAATTCAGGCTGCCTCAGCCATCTTCTGGGAGGCTTTCTCCAAGACACTGAATTAATTGTGGGAAATAAATAAATTCTCACAAAATATTATGTTTGTGGGTGTTATAAATTAATATTAGCATTAATTCCTCAGTTATTGCTGATTGTATGACAGATTAGTTCTAATTAAATGATAACTTGATAATTCCCTTAGTTCATGCTACTGTGCAGTATCATAGCACATATTATAAATATATAATCCTGGTTCATAAAATTCATGCATAGTACAAATTAATTGGTATTGAATACTGATGACGTATTTTTAATTAAATTATGGTGAGTGTATTTGTTTTGCTAAAGATGCAGTTTTAGAAGCCTAGTACCACTTGCTGAATGATGTTATTTTATCTTAAAGTAATATATAATGAATAATGTTATTGTAAAAGATATAAAAGTAATTGGCTTGATGTTTGTAAAAGCCTGATTCTGAGTATGGATGAATGAGGATGGGTTGCCTGCGCTAAAGTAAAGGGAATTGGCATGTAAACACTGTTCCCTTCATTTCTATATGAGATTTAACTTGATATAGAAAATTGTTTTGGAGATGAATATCAAATTAAAGGCTTGAATAGGGGATTGTTCTTTCCAAAATTTGCAACAAAAGCTTGAAAAATTTGCAAAAGCTTGCAAACAGCTGAAGAGGCATTTCTAGGTTTTCACTTTGCCAGATCAGGTAGAAATGAATAAAACAAGAAGAAATCAGTTTCTGCAATTATTTGATATATTAAAAAAAGAATATATCTACATTTGTCTCTTGGCAGTGCTGATATACCTCCTTAATACAACATCATGCTCTAATTTTTCAACCCCTCACTTCTAGTAAACATAATTCTGGGCTCTTGAGATTAATTTTCAAGCATGCTTCATTACCAGTTTTTTTTAAAAAATATTCTCTACAGCAAAAAAATGTGCTTTGCTTTATGTGAGATAAGCATGATTTTAGAGCTGTGTTTATGCTGAAATCTTAGTTCTGTAAAGTATTTTTTGCTTCATGTTTGAAATAACTGCAATAGTAATAATTGTAATTAGTACAAATTTAAGAGCCTTTTTATAATTGAGTTACTATTGCTCACTTTGAAAAATGCTAATTAGTTTCAACTTTAATACATATTAAATTAAACATCTGAACATCTGGGTCAAATCGGAGCTTTAAGATAAACATAGTTAATTGCTTCTGTTAAGATCTAAAATCTGAATTATCTAGCAGTTAAACCTAAGTGATTTAAGAAAAACATTGCAAAGAAGTGTAGAGCATAGAAATATTTTCCCCAGAAATTCTTAAGAACAAGACCTGAAAAATGATCAGGACCCCACATTCTTCAACACAGGCAGTCCTCGACTCATAGCCATTTGTTTAGTGACTGAAGTTACAATAGCACTGAAAAAAAATGATGATTGTTTTTCACTCAACTGTTGCAGCATCCCCATGGTCATGTGGTCACAATTCAGACAATTAGTAACTGGTATGTTTTTATGATAGCTGCACTTTCCCAGTGTTATGTGATCATCTTTTGCAACCTTCTGATGAGCAAAGTCAATAGGGAAATCAGATTCACTTTTCAATCATGTTACTAAGTTAACAATTGCAGTGATTCACTTAACAACTGTGGCAAGAATAGTCATAAAATGGGGCAAACCTCACTTAACAGCTGACTTGCTTAGCAGCAGAAATTTTGGGCTCAATTATGTCAAGGACTACCTATAGTCAAAGAATAGGTCAGTCCTTATGAGAACCTAAGGAAGACTTTTGGAAGGTATGTCTGTTTTGTTTAATTCTATCCCATTTCTTTGAATTAAAACCAGCAAATGCAAAGCATTACTAATCCATATCCTCCATTATTAATTGTGTATGGACAAGAGTGCACTTAGTATTGAATATTTTAATTTCTGGTTAGTTCCATCTGGGGAAAAACAAATACACTAATATGCAAAAGCTAATACCAGGTTTCCAAGTGTGTTTCACATGTATATTTTTGGGAGAGATTGAATATTCACATCATCTAATTTTTATTTCAGAGCTACTTCATAAATGTACTTCATCTAATTATACTAAGTATAGCATATTTAGACTTCAGCAAGGCATTTGACAAGGTGGACCACAATCTACTTGGTAAGCTAGAAAAAAGTGAGATAAGATAGTATCACCATCAGATGGATTTGTAACTGGCTGACAAACCGTACTCAACAGGTAGTCCTTAAGGGTACTACGTCTACATGGAGGGAAGTAAGTAGTGGGGTACCACAAGTTCCATCTTAGGCCCAGAACTCTTCAATATCTTTATAAACGACTTAGATGAGGGAATAGAAGGGGTGTGTTTTTGCAGGTTTATGCAACTGCTCCAGAATCTGCTGCAATCTGTATGTGCAAAGTCTGGAAAAAACGTCTTTAATAATATGAAAAGATATGGTTTGTACATATTCATACATGTTCTGAAGCATCCCTGAAGGGCCCTTAAATGTGTCTTCTCAACCATCAAAGAGTTACTGTTGAAATCCAGAAATAACTAGATTATATAAATTACTAATTATGAATTATAATCAAAACTGTATGCATGTCATTCCCACCACAGTGTTTTATCTCCCATTTCAGGTAGCATACAGCACATTCATTATAGCAACCTACAAAAATCTTTGTATTTCTGTTCTGATTTATGATATAGGTAGTTAGGTCTACTTAAATTTAAAGAAGAAAGGGGGAAAGTTTCTTTTAAATTCACTATAATCTAAAGTCAAGGGTTGTTAAAGCGGAAAGAAAACTTAGCTAACAAGTTTTATAATAAACATTTCTGCTATAGGCAATGAGGAATTGTTCCTTCATTTGCAACTGCTACAAGATGGCATGAGCCACTCCTTTACAATAATACAATAGCAGAGTTGGAAGGGACCTTGGAGGTCTTCTAGTCCAATCCCCTGCCTAAGCAGAAAATCCTATACCGTTTCAGACAAATGGCTATCCAACATCTTAAAGACTTCCAGTGTTGGGGCATTCACAACTTCTGGAGGCAAGCTGTTCCACTGATTAATTGTTCTAACTGTCAGGAAATTTCTCCTTAATTCTAAGTTGCTTCTCTCCTTGATTAGTTTCCACCCATTGCTTCTTGTTTTACCCTGAGGTCCCTTGGAGAATAGTTTTGACTCCCTCTTCTTTGTGGCAGCCCCTGAGATATTGGAACACTACACTGCTATCATGTCTCC